CCAGATGATTGAATTGTCTGTCGGTAAAGTTACACGCCTCATCTTCATACATCCAACATAATCCACGCCGTTCGTCAAGAAAAGTGTCACACACGTCGAATATTTGTCCATGTTTTCCTTAAAAAGTCAGTTGAACTTAGTAAAGATACAAACTGAAAAAGATGGAGTGTTTGTAAAACATTTCTTCGGATGAAGATATCCGTCTTCTGGGTTATTGCGCTGTGTAGTCTGGTCGATGTTAACATCGACCAGACTACACAGCGCAATAACCCAGAAGACGGATATCTTCATCCGAAGAAATGTTTTACAAACACTCCATCTTTTTCAGTTTGTATCTTTACTAAGTTCAACTGACTTTTTAAGGAAAACATGGACAAATATTCGACGTGTGTGACACTTTTCTTGACGAACGGCGTGGATTATGTTCAAAAGACTCTGTGAAGCGTTCGGAAGCCTCTGGATTATCTTGAAGGACACGTGGCTTGTAAAGTGGCGGTTACAGGGTTCTCTTTCGACGAATAAGAGTAACGTCCAAGGAAGGGCGTTTATTAACCTTGTAAATTCTCTTTGTGTCCACGTGACTGAAGTGGACTTCTATTGGACCAACTCAGTAACGAGGAGTCCTTGAGAAGCCAACAGTTCGCTCAGCTAGTCAAGAAATTCCCCGCCTTTTATGGACCCACAGTTTCTCCACCCTCTTGTCACTTCATCCGTCTTAGCCGGACTCCAACAAAAGCTCCATAACCCTTTCTCCACGTTCTTTCGTTGGTTTATACTAAATTTTACAAGTGTCCTTTGCAACGTGAAGCAACAGAAATATAATAAACATTTGCCTTTTGGAAATAAGTTTAAAATGTGTCATACATTTGTTGTCTACCCTATACAATTAAAATTCTGAATACATAAACGATTCAAGAACAGCGTAGGTGTCCTTGAAAATGAATGAGTCAGACAAAAAACGCGTTAATTCTGTTTCTGCATTGGCTTTTGTGGGCAGATGCGTTGTAAACGGTCATTTCGAATTCGATAGACGAATTCGGTTAAACCTTGAGTCAGAGATGTTAACTTGCTGGCAGAAATCCGAGTCAATCCGTGCCATGGCACGTGTAGGAAATCATAAAATTCTAAGAAAAACTGTCTAGAGCAGTTCTTAAATTACAGAGTTGCTACTCGCGTTATCAGCAGATTAAAACTGGCCACAAACTATGGTTATCTGATACATTTTTTTAGGAGAATACTTGAACATAATGAGAAGACAAGGGTGAAGAAGACGACGTAGGGAGTTCTCTTCAGATGTTATAACAGCGCAGAAAGGAGGTAAAGCTGTCCCACTATACGCCATGTCGGCGCTTGGGAGGAGAGACGGTATAGCTCCTACTCATTCTTATCCTCGGCACTAGATGGGGGTGAGTGGTCAGCGTCACATCCCGGCCGCGCGTTACCCCCGAGAAAGGACCCCGGTACCCATTGGATAGGAGGCTGGGTGGACCAGAGGCTACAAGAAAAATCCTCTGGGGAAAAGGGGTACACAGTATAATTGACGGAAACAAAAACACGCTTTAGAATTTTTTAATAAAAAACTCAAGGACCGAGATCGCTCGAGTACCTAAGCGTAGATGAGTGTGTTCTCATGAAATGTACAGTAGCCAAAGTAAATCAGGAGGGAGTAAATGTGGCCCTAGACTTCTAGGAGGATGAACACTCATGCCGTATGCAACGTAATTGACACTGGTGACCGATTCGCATTCGTCCTGACAGCTTTCGCAATAAGGCGCAGTGTACATTGCTACTGAAGAGCGGACGTCAGTGCTACATATTGGTATTCTGGACGTTTCGTCCAGGAGTGACGTAAGTTTCAGATCGCTGACAGTGAATCGAATGACAGCGTCATTTGCAAGCACAAACAGGGATTAACGATGAAACCATGGACCTCTTCCGACAATCCAACCAGAACTCGTATCGTTTAACACTGTGGTAACTATATATACCACCTACTATAAGTCAACACTTCTGTATTTTTCTCCGGGTGTATTTTTGGGTTAAGAATGATTCTCAGAGTAAACAGCGATTATTTCCCTAAATTATTTATCTTCGCCACAACATCCACCCAGCCTCATACACAATGCGTACCGGGGTTCTTTCCTCGAAGGCAAAGCGGCCGGGGCGTGAAGCCGACCACTCACTTCTTTTCGCACCAGCATACGCTGTTATACATATTTTAAATAAATTATAACTCTGAAATGAACAGAGTTGCTGATATGATACGAAGCATGTCATATTGGAGTAAACCTCAAGTTTGGTTTTACAATTTACATTTTATTTTAGCGTTATGGAATCTTTAAATCGAGATCAAATTGTGGTTCATTCTGTATCATGTCCTCTAATCGCCCAGCAATATCAAGGCTGATGTTTGTCAGAGATCTACGACCCTATTAATAAGATTCGTAACAACTTCTGATTCTTTCAAAGTCGAGGTACATGAGAACCAGGTCGGTCTCGAATCCTCTCCGTAGCCTTGGTTACATAAACTAAGACACAAGCGTTAACTTATAATTTCGACGGCGTAGCGAGAGACAGCACTTGAATCAGCAAGCACCAAACGGAAGCCGACAGGAATGTGTGTAAGGGTACTAATTGACAGTAATGCCTCACAATGGAGTTACACCGGACGTTGCTATGACAATCATCCGTCATTCTCGTAGCCCAGTCTTACTCAATCCATCCATTCAAATAATCTACACAATGGTTAAGATCCATCTGCCCATCACCCAAACGGCGTGTCAAAGATGAAAATTGTAAATAAAAATATTTCTTCTGAAGAGACAAACCCCAGGAAAATTGTAGATTCCTGCTTCGGAAAATTATGCACAGATGCTTACTACTTCCATCATCAGGGCCAATTTCTGCGACACTGCTAAATCCCATCAGAGTTACCACGAACCTTAGAATCAATCATTTTATCCCACATGTGAACGTTTTATTAACCTAAGGCCAAACGATACACGGGTACCCTATCAATTCTAGCAGTTTGAAGCAGATAACCAAGAGTTTCTAAGCCATTAAATTCCGGATGGACTGAAAACCTAAGACAGTCAGCCCTGGAGCAGATGCAGTTAACTGCGCATGTGGATATGGACCAACTTTTCCCTTTAAAATACCACAAGTACCCGATGAAAAGATAAATCCAAAGATCAGTACAAACTCGAAAACAAATCTGCAGACGTAAGACTAGAAAGATTAAAACCAACGCAAGGATATGACACAAGCTCGTGTATCGGAATAAATTAATGAAAATCATTCAAAACGTCAAGCAACCAATTTTGCTTATTATTTTGATTATACACAAGAATTACTGAACAATCATTTCAATTTCGAAGCGTGTACGTCACAAGTACCAGGCGAAGGTCAATGTAACTTAGCACAAAAGAAAACATGAAAGAAATTCTGCATAATACTGATACCATCTATTGGTTGCAACTAATACTACAAGGAACTATAACCGATAAAACAGACGTCTGTAATTACCGTCTGACACTTCGAACAAGGGAAATAGTAGTGAACATAAAATACGCACACCAATATTCCCTGCTCAAATGCAATATAATTTTATAGCACACACACAATATATATCCATATAACGTTCTAGGGCTGTGGTTCTCAAATTATGTATGGATCATGAAGGGCATTCTGGTAGGTCACGAAGGTTACCAAAAGCAGATAATTTTTCACAAATAAACATAAATAGATAGACATGGCTGCATGTGAAAGTAAAAAACAATACTGTTTTGAAAACTGGATCAGTAATTGAGGTTAGCTGTTTCAAATGGACCCAACTGAGTAGGTGCCCCTCTTTCATACACCTGAGGATGACAGATCCAGTTTTCCAACTTTTTTTCACCCCAGAACACCAAATGATGGACAAAGTCCAAAAACTCAGTGATCAAGAATTTAATACATTATTGTCAGAACCCTTTAGAATCGACGAACCTGAATGTTAAATTCACAAAAGTGGAATTCTGATTTGAAAGAATTATATCTGGCTCTTTCCACAAAAATGACTTTTAAATTTGCATCAGGTACTTGACAAGGCAGACATGCCTAAATATTGCTATGGTATTTGTACTGTGCACAACAAAAAGTATATAAATGGTGTAGATGGTTATTTATATTTGACATGGACATTTTTCATTCCCAGATATTCAAATGTGGCCTCCCAGTTTAAACACTTCCCCACTTAAGGTTACAAACAAGCTGAGTACAGATATATCTGGCAAAAGAACATAATTTTTGCGATTTTTTGTAAGTACGCTACATTTATGCTCTCTAACATAACCTCAAAATTTTGTCTGAAGAACTGACATTTTCTTATGCTTGGGGTCACAAGGATTTGAAGAATATCAATAATGCGGTCAGTCATAGATGAAAAAAGGCTGAGAACCACTACTTTTTATAAACTCATCATTAATTCATGATCCATTTTTTTTTTCTTCACGGTCAACTTGACCTTCTCCTCTCTTAACGAACATGTGAATCACTTTCAGACAACTAAACCCTCGTGGCATAACATTTCATTAGCGCTAACACTTCTTGAACTTTGCTCAACTATTCCACTACTGTTCAACATTTAATTCTGAATATGCAGTGCTAATGGTCACTGAAATGTCTGATAGAATTAAACAAGCAAAATGGCTCACGCCCCACAATCAAAAAATGAATTAAAAACACCAGCCGCAAAGGTGGAAGATCATTTACATTATGTTGTGGACTGTGCTCTTTGGTTCAGAAAGAGATTAATTTATTGTAAATAACCAATGTCCTTCCTGAATCATACAAAGGCATATTCACAATATATTTCTTACTTATCTGTTGTTGTTTCCGAGGTTTTAATCACTTCGAAACGGCTTTTAAAATTTAAAATCAGAGTCTGGAGAGGGACTATTAAACACTACACTTCTGAGAACTAAGAGAAAATATGCAATGGTCTGTTTCTATGATCCTACCTGCCCGGAGAGCATACAGCAGGCCACCACCCCGAGAGACCACCAATCCACTGCATGTCCATATGGCTCCATGCTCACCACCTCTGGTGCTACACAGAAAGAATTTATCTCATAAGCAAAAGCCATATAAACGGAATCAACACTTTCAGTGCTTAGTTTAGCTGAGGAAAAAGAAATCTTCTTTGATAAGTCTGCCTGCATTGTAACTTACAATTCCAAGCAATAAAAAAACCCAAGATATTGTTGGCTTTAATTATCAAGAAATAGTAGACTATACTTCCAAAAGTTGTGTCGTCGTGTTGTCGTGGTAGTGGGGCTTGAGTACCTCAGTGACCCCAAGAGCTACTGGTAGGACCTCCCTAGCCAGAATGGTGGAGGGGGAGAGGTCAGACTAAGACAGGTACCCTGGTCCTACAGGTTGGGGGTTGGTCGCAAGGCTAACAACCTTGCACCGTAAAAAGGAAGACGTTTCGAAACCTCGATCAAAGACGGACCTAACAGAAGGACCGAAGTGAAGAGGAGAATTGAGGAGGCCATGGGAATACGGACCGGAGAGACATAGAAGAAAAAGATGTTATTGAAATGTTAGAATATACATCAGATTTACTAAACAATGACAAATTTTCCAGCTCCTGTAAAGGGGTGTGCTGCATGCGCCTGTTGAAACCTCTGCTTTATGGTGCTGTAAGTTGATCAGTTTTTAAATTACACAAGTAAAATTTACAGGCAGAGTAGATGAAAGTCCAGGTTATTAACATGGTTACTCATTGAATATAAATTCTGTTTAAACTCATGGTAAAACTATAGAAGCCATAAAAACATACAAATTCATGTGAAAACTGTTGAGATGACATAGATAAAACCTGGAATTAGCAAACAATACATAATATGATCTTTTAATCATGTTACTTACCCATGTACTGTCTGGTACCACATATTGTCGTGGTTCGAGATCCATATTTTATCCACTTCGCTAATCCAAAATCTATCAACTGAGCATGACCTTCATCATCAAGGAGAATGTTCTCCAGTTTGATGTCCCGATAGATAACACCAGCATTGTGTAAAAAGTCTGAAAACCAAAATTTAACATTCACACCGCAATGTACAGTGGGGAAAAGAAACCAAAACATATATGGAATATAACCTATAAAACAAGGTACTTGTGGGTTATCGGGACACATCGCTTTAAAAATAGGTTAGGTTAGGTTAATGTGTGGGGATAAATGACATATACTTGAAAGTTGTTATATTTTATTTCAATAAATGACAAATTATTATATTTTATTTGGATACGCAGGTCCAGATATTCGACTCTCCCGTTTTGTGTCCCGATAACCAACAAGTACCAAAAATAGTTTGTAGTAGTCTGTGATTACGATATCACAACACTGGAGATAAGGCAAAAAAATTATATTTTTCAATATCTGGGATGTGAAATATGTAACAACAATAAAACTTAAAAATTAAATTACAAAGAACATTTTTAAACACTTCAAAATATTATCATTTGGTCAAAACTCTAGCACTAAATCAAGATGCAGGAAACGGCCTTCAATATTTGCATTACATCAGCTGAAATGTAGCAAAAATAAGGTTAAATTTAGGTTAACAAACTTCATATGGCCTACATACACTGCTTGCTAATAGGGGTCCAAATAAGGAATCATAAGGGTTCCTTGGTAACATAAAAATTAGGCAGAAAGAATAATTTAAAAATCAACAGACTTAAATTATTTAAATATACTACTAAGTTCTAATTACACAGGATTTGTAACATGCCGCAGGAAATGAAGTGCTAACGTTTACCAATATAAGCCAAACCGGCCTACCTAAAGCAAGGGAAATCTCGGCAACATAGATCCGCACCAGTTCCTCAGGCAAAATTCCATAACTCTGGCAAAGTTCAAGTAATTCTCCACCAGATACAAACTCACTCACTGCAACAAGACATTGGTGGTGTTAAGAATGAGTGTATCTCCCCCAATATTGTCAGGGTGATTAAGTCGAGAAGAATGAGATGGGCGGGGCATGTAGCGTGCATGGATGGGACAAGAGGTGTGCACCGGGTATTGGTCAGGAAGCCTGAGGGGAAGAGACCGCTGGGGAGACCTAGACGTAGATGGGAGGATAATCTCAGGCAGGATCTATGGGAGATAGGAGTTGAAGGAAACTGGATTTTGTTGGCCCAGGACAGGGTCCAGTGGAGGGCTTTGGTTAATTCGGTGATGAACCTTCGGGTTCAGTAAGCCATCTAGTTAGTTAGTAAAGAATGAGTGTATTGTTACACCTTTCTTGTCAGCAATGTAGATACATACAGCAACTGTTTGGACCCAAGAAAGTAAATAGACCAATTCACATGTGTTTGAAAGAAACTTAAAAATTTGCAAAGGTAAAAGTTTTTCTGAAATACTTATAAGAACCATTTCTAACATAGGAATTCCTTTATTATCACCGCTTTTAAACATCACTTTCCTATTGTTGTGCAACAAAGGGAAAACCTGTCCTGTTGTGAAAAATGTGATAGACAGACCCAGAAGGTGTTCTTTGCACATACTGGAGCATGAAGAACACTTAAAGACTATTAACAATCTTGCTAGCAACAAGCATGTCATTACCAAAATACTGAACAAGATCATACGTACCGCTTATGTTTCCTCATTTGCGTACAGTTCTGTAAATTCAGTGATCAAATGCTTTGGATCTATATAACACATTTAAAACTTACCTATGAACAACTGTTTCCTGTTCTGCCAGAAGAACGGACAGTTTACTATGAATGGGTTGTGTCCACACATGGACTGAATTCCCACTTCATCCTTCACCTGTTGCACTGCATTCTCTGAAATTATCTGGAAAAAACACCATCCTAATAGAGATTTGAAGTTTTCATGGTGTTTAATGTGCTGATTGCGATCATTTGGGTTATAACACAATGTAGTCTTGTAAGTGGATACTGACATTTCATAGTAACCTATCACCTCTACCTTCAGTGTGAACACAGTTCGCTGAAACACTGATAACAACATAAGAAAGTATGTGGTACACTAATCCAGAAGACCACAATTCAAAAACATGATTCTCTTTGTTAACCAATATTCAAAATGTGGAAAATAAGAAAAATTTTCATCTCTACACATGTGCACTTATTACACAATTTTTAGTCTACTTTGCTTCCTCGAGATAAAAAGTAAATTTACATGATAACTGGGATGTTTGTGTATCCCTGCCTTTCAGCTGTGGAAGAACTAAATGATTTTCACTAAATGTAGTATGAATGTTATTCTACTGGAGACTATATCAACCACATATATTTTTTTAATTTCCCACAATGACCAATAAGAACATGGAAGATGCATGAACTTGCGAGGAAAAGATAGAAATTACAGACATTTGGTAAAACAGCCAAACAGGATTTTACATTCTTAAATGTAAAGAGATAGCAAGTACCTGAGACTTGGATAGAATTTTTAATGCATATATCTCATTTGTGTCCTTCTTTACAACTTTGTACACTTTTCCAAAGGCCCCTCTTGATATTGTACTAATCACCTGAAAACAAACATTAAATGATTAAATTAGTTGTAGTGGCATTTAGATCAAACAAATATGCAGATCATTATGAATGATCAACTGTAAACAACATAAAGGAAGGAGGTAATAAATTTTAAGGAAAGATTCAAGCGCTTACTAAAATGACTGACAAAAACCATAAAGAACTTCTGTCAGGCTCTAGACAAAGACATGACGCCAGAAACTCCTTATGTCTCACAGTTTCTTAAGAGTTACATAAGACCGAAGAGCTTCAAATAATATAAAGTACGCACCTGAAAATCTCTTTCTGTTATGTCACCTTTAATTTTAAATTCAGGCAAAAAGACGGCTTCAACATAAGACACTGGCCAGGCTGTTTTAGCAGCCTCCAGAGGGTCACTGAGAGTTGTTTGACGCCACCTATAAACAAATTCAAAATGTTTATTCTTCACTTTAAAAATAATTTTATTTCACCATAATTTATACAAATCTTTTTTTCTGAATTAGTTCAATCAGTTCGTTTCTATTTGTTACCAAACTATAGGCAACATAAATTTGACCTCACCTCCGTCTTGACACCCTGGACCATGGCCTTGAAACACTGCATGTTGACTGGTAACTAACAGCACTTGCAAATGATCTTCCACTCAGATCACTGGTAAAATTTGACAAACTAATCTGAAATCAGATTCACAGTATTAGACAGGTACAATTATCTCTCTAGGCATAGGGAACATCCCAATAGTTGAACGCTCCTTGTTCCCTCTTAACCTACTTTCGTATTCTCACCTGACTGGTGTATGGCTGCCGTATTCCGACATTTCTTAAATGTTTGGTAGTTGTTCCAGATGCATGCTTTCTGCTTGAATTTCCCATTAAATATGCACACTAATTGTATGCAGTGACATTAGTCCTGGCTTAAAAGTTCGAACGTCTCTTCATAATGCATCAAATTATAATTCCCACCAACAGTTTTTTGTTTCAACAGCTGATATCACGGTACTTCGTATTCAAACGTAATTCTACTAACTTGCAAAAAAGCTAATCTTTAAAAAGTTCTAGTTAAACAGGTTTATTTAAATGGTAATGCTACCTGGAATTTCATTCTTTCAGTTACCACTTTACAGAACACTGCTAATATTCCTGTGACTATTCTGGTTGGTATCCGGTTCCCCTCCTTCCTATCTAATTTGGTCAATCGAAGGATAACCAGGAAAATGGCTGGCGCTGTTGGAAATTCTCTTCTACATCGAATTATTTCTGCTGTTCCTGCACGGGCTATTCATGGCCCATCAGCTGGAGAGCATTCAGGTTTTTGTTCATTGATAACGATTAATTTATTTTAGTTTCATAAGCACTGTCATCATTTTAACCGTCGTTATCATGAAATAGTATTTCTTACAAATTTTATCACGTATCTAACATTAATTGAATATTACTGCCCCCCCCCATTACGAAAAAATGTGGGTTTTTTAAATTTTTGGGTGGTTATTTGAATATGATAATTGTTGCAAGACATATGAAGGATCACATCCCAGTTTTCAAGTGATGAGAAATTTATAATGCAGTTAACCCAGGGACCTTATCTCCAGAAGAAAATAGTACTATAGGCACATACCTGTCTTATGTGACACTGCTTTAAGTACCATGAAGATGCAATAAATATATCAGGTGATAAAGATTATCTGCTAGTTGAGAGTATCTTACCAGGTGGTTTTTTGCTGTCTATTAGGTGGGTACAAGCTGTGGAAGAATCTTTCCTTTTTTGTTGCCTTGCCAGCGGTGGGACTCTGCATGGTGCATGCTTATCTCAAGCACCAAGAAGAACATCACCATGAACGACCAGAGTTTATTCCATATGAACATCTACGGATAAGAAATAAGGTCTCTCTTATTGAATAGAAGCTCACCAGTTTGCTGTAGTGTCTAAAATTTTTCTTGATGATGCCTAGAAATTTTTTAATATTATTCTGATGGTTTTGTATCTTTGCATATTATTGTTTAACATTTTCAAATTTGTGCCATGTAGTTCTGATTTCCATAGTGTGACAGCTTCAGCATTTGCAATTACATTTATGTGACTGTTCTTTCCATTTCTGATAAAAATATATATATACACACATATTTCTTTGGTGGGTCCTCGATTTTGGAGATGGCTTCTAAACATACAGGAAATTGGTCCTGGCCTGAGCATGGATCTCACATATATACTTGTACTGAAATCTACTCTGCTATAGGCATAGCTGCATGTCTGTGAAACTCACAAGTGTGACTGTGCATATTTTAGGTGAAGGTCCAGTGCTATTGATCATATAGCTTTAAAAAATTGTGTGTGATTGTCCAGTGTTTGAAATGTATTCTGTTTTATTGAAGTTCTTTTCCACATACCTGTAAATAAAAGAAATATTTCTACTATGAATACATCTGAGGTTAGGTTTCAATTTTCATTACATTAAGAGTTTTGGTTTATTATTCGTGATCATCATACTGCAAGAATAATTCAGTAGATGCTGAATTTTAAAGTTAAATTTCTAATCCCTGTTTTGTTAAATTCAATAAAATGTTTCAGTAAAAACCAGTGTATCAAACCATGTTTTGCTACTGAATGGCTTATAATCAAGGATTTTAATTTCTGAATGGATTTTATATTCACTTTTGCAGAGATTCCCTTGGGGTGATGGCAACCATTCACTGTTCCACAACCCACATGTAAATGCTTTGCCTGATGGATATGAAGAGTAGCCAAAAAGGTTTTGTGCCAGTGCAGATATCAGAAGAATTTAGTGTTGTGCATCAGCTTGTACAAGCAAAACTTAGCTTTGACAGTACAGACTTGTGCACTGCATTAGTATGTGTATGTATTTTCATTATTCCAATGTTACATGTGTAATGGTTGCTGTAGATATGAATAAACAAAACGTATCTTTCATGTGTTTCAAGTCTTTAATATATTCATCCCTTATTTCTCTACCATATCCCTTTCTCCTATATTCTGTTCCTATTGTTTTGAACTTAGAAAAGCAAAGAAAAATATCAGCTGTGCTAGGTACTATGCTATTTTAGGTTTTTGTCACCTCTATTAGAAATACTTATAAAAGACTTGATAATAGCAGCAATTGGAAAGCAGAACATTTTGCCATCCAGCACCATCACTGAGAAATTACGTGCTTCTGTGCAATGAAATGTGTCAAAGTAAGCAAACACACCTATAGTTTCATGCAAAATTTCTAATTATTATTACCTGTCTAAGTAAATTAATAGATATATAATTGACCATGGACAGGTTCAACAGAACCACCCTCATATTATAATAATCCAACTCTCTAATAATTGCTTCCAATTTTGAAGCAATATTTCTTGAAAGATTATAAGGACCAATGGCTGGCTCATATGAATACAATAACAAAGCTTCAAGTTCAATAAAAGGTGAGGAATTAATTGACTAGCTAAGCAAGAATCAACTTCTCAAGGATTCTGTTCCATGTAGTTGTTCTGCAGACAAAAAGTTTTAGTTTCATAGCTTAGAACTGTAACTAGGATGTAAACTTATTGTAATTTGGTTATTACCCAAAGTTACAGAACATTCTGATACCTACTGATACAAAGCCCAAGTCCACAATGCATGCTTCAGGACCTGTACCAATCTGTGAATTCAAATGGCTGAGAAACCCTGATCGAAAATCTTATTCATCCATCATCTAAACTGGTTAAGCTTCAACCATCAAAATTGGAATACCTAACTTTTGTCAGAGTTCACTGACAGAGAGTGTCACCTAATCATAGTACCACTTTCAAGAGGAGTGGAAGAATATTTTTAAATTTAATGTTACAATTGGACTGGCTGGCCAGGTTAGAAAAACGTATGTATGATGACGAATCTCAAATCACAAAATATGATTTTAATGTTCCTAGCTTTATTCTTTTCTTTGACTGAAAAATAAGAATGGATATTTCACTACAGGATTAATGACAAAGTTTAAAAATATAACCACTTCATAACTTTCCAGAAATTTAATAAAATCATGGACTGAAAACAAGATTGTCTAAATATTGTACTATGATAAAATGCATCACAGTAAAACATCAATGTTTAAAATAATCAGTCAGTTATGTTGTACTCATGATAAGTACGCTTACATAGCTATAAGACTTAAAAAAACATTTTTTTAATGTTAACAAGTAAAGATTTATAGAAAGTAAACTGTAACAAAAATATACTACAGATTCTAGGTAAGCATGTAGTGTCATGACAGAATTTGGCATGTATGTTTTGTAGAAGGTTCAAGCACTGATGAAGCAACAATCAAAACTAAACTCACTAACAACTCTTAATTTTTCACAGTTAGGCAGAATAGATCTATGAGGTTCTTTAACTTCTAAGCTTTCTAAGCTACCCCTACTTTCCTTCACTTCAGGCAGGAACTAGTAATGCCTTACATCAAACATTTATAAAACTGGTTATACACATGCATGTACAGACAGCTACACATCCACCATGGTGAGCAAATTAACACTGGATCTTTGAAAAAGATTATGCCAATAATTAAAACTTGATATTTCATAAAATAACTAACATACAACAGTAACATTTACTAAAACTTAAAAGCTGTCCTGCTACATACTACTGAGGAACTAGGAGGGCGAGAGGAGATATAGCTCCTACTATTTATGCAGAAATGTAACATAGTAACAGTTTGTTGGAAAAGGAAATGTATTCCAGTTTCAAGATTAATGTCATTAACTTGTGGAAAGAAAACGTTCAACCAAACAACAAATGACTTACATTTATTCTAAATAATTTGTAAGCTCTGAAGAGTTTATTTAGACAAAAAAGTAATTTCCGTCAGTCAATCACTTCATGAAATACACACCCTTAGAAATATGGATATTCTTTTTCAGTGATCCAGTAGAATATAGGCGGCACATCTTGCCAAAACAGAACCTTGTAGTAAACACGAATGTGTATGTCAATTACTCTTCAGCTGCAGTTGACTCACTCCACAAAACCCTTCCTTGGAAAATCACAATATATATGCCACCCCTTTCAAATTATATTTCAAAATTTCTCCTACATGCATCCCCTTCTTATATTCCATTCCAGGAAACAACTCAATTATGATGCTGGACCAATCAGCAAGCTCCCCACAAAACTGTGATCATCATACTATGAATTATTAAGGATTATGCTTAATTAATTACCTGAAGCAAATTGTTTTCTGGACATTATCTATCGTCCAAGATTAAATAAAATCAATAAACACGACAACATTTTAGGAGATGGAAGATCAATTTGCTTCAAGAACACACCACTGTCACAAACTTTCAGACTTAAGTTAATTAATTACCTATTTAAAAATCATCTAGGTATAGAAAACAAATAGTAACTGCTATACCACTCATTTAATGAGCTTCCCTTAAAATAATACTGGCACACAAATGTCACATAAAACTGGGAACATCTGTTAAAGCAACTAAACTAAAAATCCTTTTGTCAAAAACATTAATTAATGGAATTTTAATTTCTCAAAATTATGCAATATTAACTTAAGACAGTTACAGTTTATAGATTGCAGAGTATATTATAATACATAGCTGGACTGTTATAGACCAGCTGTGTGAATATAAACACTCTGCATAGATTTGCAGATCATTTCAAATACACACAGCAAACAAGAAATATGACTATACACTATATCATACACTAATAAGATTTCATTAAGCTGGGTGCTAAATCAGAGAGGAAAGCTCATCTGAAACTAATTTTTTTAAATGTTTACAAATGGTTCAATGAAATGAAACAGACAAATACAAGTTACAAATGTAAAAGGAACATTGTGTGCAGGCCAGAAATAAAAATGCAGTCATTGTTTTGACAGAATGGCAGAAACGTCTAATTCACTGGACATCAGATGGGACATAAGGGATGAGGAAATCACAATGCAGTAGTAACAGGGAATTGATAAAGCAATGGATGGAATGAATTTGAAATATGAGACTGGAATGAAGGACAGTTATGAGGTATCAGAAAGGGAAACCTATGGAAATGAAAAAATGAGATGATCTGTAACTGACATCATATAAAATAATATTTACTGAATTTGCACACAGTTTACTGAACTGTTCTCATTTAGCACTGTGTATTTTTGGTGCACTGGGGATACTGTCATAACAGTAAGCACCGAATAGAACTCTATTTTACCCTACGTATATTTTCAGTTGATGATGGACACAGCTGATATGCCAGACTTCTATCATTTACCTAGTTTGGTGTAGCACAGGTATGTGCTGAAGTAGTATGTTCAAGAAAACCAGTGATACTGTTTGGTTAAAAAAAGTCACTTCACATTGAAACAGAATTCAGTTCTGTACTTCTCATGCAAGTGCCTTACAACAACACTACTACGAACACCTCCCAATATGGTGGCAATATTTCTCACTATAGTGCCTCACTGATAACAACACAAGCTGACCGCATCAATAGCTAGCTTAGTTGTCTGGTGGACAGAGTCCATACATATATATGTATGTACATTACCACACATATACATCTCACCAACACATATAGGTGAGAAGACAACATTCTTTACTAAAACTAAACACAGTATCGCAATAGGACTGTTTCCTAGGAAGTTACAATTCCCAATGACGACACTACTGGACGATACTATTCTAGAACTAAATCTGTTCTAAGTTAGATGTATCATTTATCACTCATAAATTATAGCTGCAACATCTAATCTCTCTACTCAATATCATATTTTCAATAAAAGAAAAATATCACTATTAACAATAGCTACAAAATTAGATAACAGTCACATTTAGAAGACATCACAATGTATACATCAGCTAACCTCTCTCTGGTATATGAACCAGTTTCCTAAATACATATCTGCAAGAAACTTTAACAATAAATTGCTTTTAACCAGCCTGTAATGGCTGATACAGAAGTGTTTCAACTACAAATAACTAGCAAGTAAAGGGAAAGAAGTAGTTTATACCATAGCAGATAACTAGCACCAGCTATCTAAAGAGGGAATGTGGCCATTAATACATACAACTGTCTGCAACTTATCACATTCACTGTGCTGCTGTAAATCCAGAAATCTAACATAACAAATATAACAACACTCATAATCAGTAGTGGCAGTATTTAGCAGATTCATTTGACCAAATGTTTCATTATTGAGATACTGGATCCTCTGTAGCCTGTTCCAAAATGATTCCTGCAACCAAGTAAGAGGGACAATTTATAACAATGTGATAGTAAATTTTATTGGAAGACAACGAAAAATCGTAAGTTTACCCCAGAATAAGAGATTAATGAGACCAAAGACAAACAAAACTGGAAAAACGAAAATACACAAAGCATTACGTTTCAGTAAGTAAATCCTTTGCAGCTATAAGCGTGAATCAGAAGAGACTTGAATTGAAGGTTCTGAGAAACATGACAGGAAAGTGAGAATAAGGAATGGACTGGATAAAATATTGCAGTGGACTGGCAGCATTATGCAGACGGACTAAAGTAGAATACCAAGTTCAAAAAACCCGAGAATGATGCGTTGTTGCACTTTCAAAACTGTCTAATATGTCAACAATTGTCACCTACTGCTTCTATGGCGAAGGCATGTCACAACATTCGTCTTGACCAACTAAGGAAACTTACAGAAACCCTAATCAGAATAGCTGATTTCTGACACTTCTCAATGCATCAGTGATGTTCAAGTTATTAATCACAGTCACATGGAAAGTCTTTTGTATTTCCCTCCAAAAATAATGGACTTACCAACTCTTGCAGAATTAATTAAAGATTATATGATGCATCTGTCATCAGCTAATGAAGAGTATGAAGGCAAGGCCATTGCAATTACATGTGTTATATACATTCTTCAAAGGAAAATTTATAGGAGAACTAAGTTCAGCCAAAAGTGGTTCACCATACAAAGATAAATACTTACCAATGATTTAAGTAGTGAAAAAGTTGATAGAGCTTATGCCTGGCTTCAAATCCTGGAGCTTTAGGAATCAGATTATGATACGCTTGGTAAAATGTACTATTAAAACCTCCAAACATTCCAGCAATGGCCAATTCAAATTCATGGTGTCCATAAAATGATGCTGGGTCAAAAACAACTAGAAAAGAGAAAATAACAACATTCAGAAGCTCAACTTGTTTCATTAAGTTCACAGTCTTCAAAGATATTTTACAGCTTTGAGTTTTATACTGGGAATGGAACACATCAAACGTGGATAGTGGAAAAAATTAAAACATATACACCAATGGGGTTGGGGGGGAGAGAGAGAAAGAAAAGAAAAGACAATGCTCTAAAAGGATTAAAGAACTCTGTTTTGCAACAACTTGGCCCATTACAGGGAAGAATAATGATGATTCATTGTCATATTGGACTATGCAAAGAATCTTACCTGGCCCTGTTGTTGATTCTGCCACATTTCCACCCCAAAGATCTCCATGTAACAGTGATGGTTCTATAGTCATATCCTTAAAGAAGTTTGGAATTTTGTGCTGAAGCCTGGACCAGAGTTCTCTCGATTCTTTATCACCATACTGAAAGAAATTCATGTCCCGTAGTACACCAATGCTCAGAAAATTGGTAACAAGTATTAGAAGCATTTTTCACTAATGAGTTGCATTTTATAGTGAAAAACATAAGTTTAAATAACAAATACAATTTCTATATAAATTCATCCCTGTAATTAACATTTCTGAACATGTATTATGTTAAGTGCAAAAAATTTAATACATTGTGGGGTGACTGTGTTTTTTCATCAGCCTGTACGTTTCATACCTGAAACTACTCAACAGACTTCAATTTAATTTGGTGCTTGAGGTCTATACTAAAAGAAGACTGGGGAATTTAACTTCTTGAAATTTTATCAAATATAACCCATGCATCATATGATGGTCAAACTTCATTCTTTTTATCAAGTGCAATATGTGTACAGGAAACTGATAAATTACATACGAGCTCTCTAATATCTACAGCATTTACAGTATTTTAAAGTTTTACAGTAGGATGTACTCATTACTTAATGAGTAACATCATTACTTACATCTTTCTCAATCAATTTCAACTGGTGTTCAAGCCTTTGTCTTGCATAGAATGTCTGCAAATAAAAGAAACTAATTCATTACAAAATCAAAATATATGACAAAATTGAGACCAGATGCACTTTATTTCCCTCAGGCCAATTATTTGGTGCATAACTCCAGTGCCAGAGGATAATATTAAAATGGATATTAGGGAAATGGGGTAGATTGGAGTCATCTAGATCAGGACAGAGACTAATGACAGGCTTTTATGAACACAGCGACAAACCTTTGGGTTCCTTAAAAGACATGGAATTTCTTGACTAGCTATGCAACTATCAGTTTCTGAAGAAAGAATCTGCTCCTTCGAATGTGTGATTTAGATTGCAGTTTCTTTAAATATGATCAACACCACAAATGTTTGCTTCCACAATGTTTGCTGGCTAATAGTTAAGAAGTACAGCGGAAGCCCCAAAATGCAAACACGAACATCAAGAAAGAAAAAGTGTCAGTACTTTGCAAAATAGCTAAACTGAATTTTCACATACTGCAAGTTAAATAACATTTAAGGTTTATCAAATAATGAATTGGAAAGGATATGGAATGAAGTGGTCACAGACTATTTTAAGGTACTATTTGTGCACTTGTGTGTAATAAATAAGGAAACATACATGTTTCTGTAGTCAGTTTTCTGATACCTCCTGACAACAAAATAAGAGTGCATTACACTTAATTTAAGCACAGGTGCTCAACACTATACCATAATGCATTCAGACTCAAACATATTAACTATATCAGATTACAGTTTCCAGATTTAATAACACACATGCTTACTGGCCAGTCATCACAGAATGTGTTGTCCTGAGGCAGATAGCCACAGCAAGTTGTGGTGTGAAATCCAAACTGGTTCACATACAGTAGCCTGTCTTCATCTTCATTGTCATTTTCTGTTCCCTGACCCCCGACATAGCTCTCCTGTTCTTTCTGTTTCTTTCCAAGTTCTGCATTGTGCAGGTGCATTCTGGCCAACTCCTCCCCGAGCTGACGGGAGTAGCGAGTCAGACCCTTCAGGTCTAGGTACTCCAACACTAGAACAGCTCCACCCTCTGGGTTGTCTAATACATGAAGTGGCTTTGGAACATGCACTGTCTGTGTTGCAGCAATAGCTTTCAAAGAGTCACTTTCACCATCAAACATCTCCCGTGCCTAAAACAGACATGCGTCTCGAATTGCATATAAGTAAATTATTTGACTATCATACTAATACATTCACAGACTGACAATTTAACTAACACTCTCACTTCTCATTGACTAAATAACTGACTTTTTGAGTGACTAATCACTGGCAAAGAGTAGTTTATTGATAATAAGGGGTTCTAACTTCTGTATATTACAGTTAATATTACTGGATTTCTGGACTTTGCCCATCACATAATATTCTGAAAAGAACACAAAGTTTTCAGAATCTGGATCTGTTTCTGTTTTCCCTACCTGCCCAAATTTTTTCACTATAACCTATGAGAAAAACCATGTCAAAGAACTGATTGTTGCAACATGGACAGTAAACATTAAGACATGCAGAATTTTTTAGTGTCTTGCAATAACCTAACCAGAGTGAAAATTAGTGCATCCATTTACCTAGTATGACATACTGTAATTTTCGTTAAATTACAAAATACCCTAATCAGGCAGCCCAGCAATAACCCATACCTACATATACAGTATTAATTTTCTAATATATCTGACATACACTGCACAATATGAGAGAACTCCTGGACGTAACACTCCACGCAACAGTTAAAACAATCATTATTATGACTTAAGAGTTTGATGGTGAAATAACAATTGGTTAACAAGATGATGCTTGCAGAAGATTCTATCTTAAGTCACTCCATCAAAGATAAATATATGCTCAAATGTTAGTACTTATATTTTTAATATCTTAGTTGTTAGACAGCACTCATGTATTGTATTGTAACCAATAGTCTTCCTACAGTATTGAAATTACAGATGGCTTGATATAGCTGAAACATGTTCAGTAATAATTAAATATTTGATTACAAATCCTTTAACAATTTGTCGTAACATGTTGCAACAGCTTTAATTAATTGAATTATAGACATCTTCACAAAATACTCATCAATTCACCAGCATCACCATAAATTCTTTAAAATAATCTTGCCACATCAAGACACATTGAACATCCCTAAGTTTGTGTATGGGCAGTATGTATTAAAACAAAATATTTCATGAATATAATTAACCTGTGGCTTCTTGTTGTACTTCACAAAGACAGTCCCTGTGTCAATGAGATATGCCTCTCCTTCATTTATACATCCGCCACCACCTTTCCCAGTTCTCTTCAGTGTGACTGTCCCTAATGCTTCTTTCAGAATTTCATCCATCCTGGTTTCTGGAACAAAAATATTACTGCTGCTACTAAAAATGGGCAGATTATACAACTATTAGGGAGGTCATCATCCACATGTCACAATTTTTTCTTCACGACAAGACCAATATAAATTCAAATGGAACAAGTTTCTGCTTCACTTGAGAATCCTGTTTCCAGTTCATGCATTTCCTCCAACAAGAACGCTATCTTCGTATGATAGGAACATCGCACAACGTGCAATCAGACAATTACTTTCAGCATATTAACACACAGTGTATAACTAAGCCTAGCAATGACAGCTCCAAACTTACGGGATCAGTAAAAGCAAAGTTTGAAATACTTTCGAACAGACTACTCTTCGGTTTTATTTATTCATGAAACATTTATCTCGCTTCAAAACAGGATAAATAAAACGACTTACTATTAGTATTCTATCGACATATCTTCTTCTCTTTTGACGATTCCTACCTAAAACACACAAATAAAAAGCAAAAAGGTTATACGACAACCATTCTCTATAACTTCTTCTTCTTCTTTTTCTGCCCATAGATCTCAAGCAGAGACCGCAGTTGACTTCCATGACCAGGGGTTATCGACACACAGTCAATATACATATTTATAATATTGCAGGCTTCTGTTTAATGAAAAATTGTTACCATTTAAATTAAATATTTACAGTAAGTGAATTAATAAAAATAACAAGCCAACAAATTTCTGGGAGAAAATTACTGAGGAATATATGAACCTATTTGGAATAGTTGGGTTGTAGTATTTTTCATAAATCGCTGTGAAGTTAACCTAAAATCTTCATACTCACCGCTGTGAAAACCTCAAATCTTACATAACCAAAAAGACTTTACACCTCGTGACCTGCTAGACGATTGTGAAAGAAAGAATGCGGCGCAGGTCTTTAGAACGTTGATAACCCGTGTGATTCTTTTTCTTAATTTAAACTTCTCTATCTAAAACGTAATAAATTACTCATATCCCTGTTCCTCTCCCGTCTTAACCTCTTTGATTTGATTATTCTAATACTGGTAACATTTGTTGAAGAGTACCACCCATACTGGGTTTTGCCTGGACTGATGGGAAAACTTTGAATAGTTGTGTTTATTATAGTTCCGGCCAAGATTTAAACCTATAATTGTCCAAACATAACTTGCTTTGTTTATTGGGAATAAGCAACACATTGTAAATACTATGCATGAAAATATAGTGTAAAGGAAAATTGTGAAAGAAGGGTTGTAGTGGGAATCTGTGTTAGGATGGTAGCTCAGTTGGGTAAAGAAATATATAATGAAATGTGTTAATGGAACCTTTCATACAGCAAAAGAATGAAAGACTGAGATGCATATTTAGGAATAAGAATAAAATGGCTGTCAAGGACCAAAAGATTTTAATGAAATGGATTTGTCTGAAATTCATAAGGAATGAATCCAATTGTGGGCTTCCTGAGTTGATGGACAGTACTTGTATAGTGCTAGTTTGTTAGTTTGCCCATAAGATATTCAACAAAAATATGAGCTGAACATTATAATCAGTAAAAAATATATTTTCAAATAATCAAAAATAAATTCACATACAAAATTGAATACATTTCTGTCTTTCAGCTTAGATATGTAATACATTTCACAATGAGGAAACTTGGAAAAACTTTTAGAGAGACAGTGGTCCAATAATGGCCACAGAGACTGATTCACAGGTGGGTTTTCAGCCCAGTCATTCAAAAGTTTCCATAATTATAAATAAAACTCGATGAGACTTATTATTTGTCATGCTGGTAC